ACCCACCCCCAACTCCCTTTGGTAACACTACCTCGCTTTTCTGCCATCTTCACAAACTCTATCTTTCACATTAAACAAACGCTCCACCTCATCTGCTTTCCAAATTATCTCTCCACTTGAGCCCATTTAGCAAAGCCTCTTACTCGTAATCAACATTAGAATGACAAGCTGTAGCCAAGTTTCGACATTGTTGGGCTGCAGGGCCATCGTCAACCCCCGCCCCACCGTCTCCACCGCCCCTTCCCGGTGATACAAATATAAATGATAAACATTTATCTTGGTTATGAAGCCAACGGAAACCTGTGTGATTTAACATCAAACGACATATTCCAGCCAATCGTAGGAAACAAGAGAACTTCATTTCTGACAAATAAGAAGGAGAGGAATTTTGGGAGCTTCCCTTGGGGTGCAATAATAATTGAAGCCAGATCCCTTGTTGTACATGTGCGTTTGGTAGGGGGTAAGGAGGGGGACTGGTGGTTTGACATATTTGATTGGTCATGTGAGGACCACACTGCATGGCCAAGAGGAGAAAGGGAGAAGGCCTTGGGAAAACGCAGCTCTCTCACTATCCAAGTGCACACGTTTGACCTAAATCGTAGAGCAAGGCAGGTGGAACACGGCATTTATTCTCACGTGCTTTTATCACACATCTGCGCAACACTACCACGTTGAAAATCATGAGGAAAATGAAAACAACAACTCATAATTGACACCCTTTTCCAGATGAGAAAGGCAGGATGGGAGGGAGGGTACTTGAGGAGTGGGGGGCACACGGTACCTTTGGCTCGCCCTTGTTCGTGAGCCAACCTTATTTAAAGAGCTGGGAAAGAACAGATTTTTCTTTTTCATGACAAAATGCTGTAATTTACAAACAGAAAGAAAATGATCAAAAAGCACTGTAAATGCTGTAAGTGCACTGTATCGTGAGATTCATGGTCATTATTTCAAGAAGCCGTTCACCTTCTTGAGGCACGCACTCTTCTTAAGTCCGAGGAGCCAATTGGAGTTCACATGAGGCTGCTTGTTCCAAATGATTTTGGCAGGAAAGTCAAATACTACCAGTTTGAGCACTGGCAATACGCTGAATGTCGAACCTGGAAATTGACCAATGCCTTATTACAGAAACATGCAGTACAAATGTCGTGGTGCGAATCCCGTTGAACACAAGATCTGTAAAAAGAACCGCGAAAGGAAAGTCAAATACTACCAGTTTGAGCACTGGCAATGCGCTGAATGTCGAACCTGGAAATTGACCAATGCCTCACTACAGAAACATGCGGTACAAATGTTGATGGTGCAAATCCCGTTGAACACAAGATCTGTAAAAAGAAACGCGAAAGCAAAAATAGTAAAATAGTTACGCCCTACCTTCCATGTTTTGCAATTCTTGGGGTCTGTGCATGCGTCTGACAGAACATTAATCTTGATTTGCCTCATTGGGAAGACTTCTGGGAGTATTGGTGATTGAGGGGTTGCAGATTAGGGATCATGTGGTGACAGAATTAAAGGAGGGACCTTCTGGACACAGAGTAGCATTAGTTGATGCCTTGAATGCTGATAAACAGCAAAGAGACACAAGCAGGCAAACGCCGCTGCTGCACATTCAAGTAAAATGACTTTAAAAATCAAATCCAGACATGGACTATATATTTGCATGACAGCGGAGAAATAATAGCTAGAACAATAAAGTTGAATACCTTGAGAATATTGCAGCAAATTACATTGAACAGCAATTCATATTGTAAATAAAGTAAACGGGCTTGTTAAAAGTAGAATCCTGGGATGGGTTGATTACCATGCTGAGGTTTTGAAGGCTAACTGTGGTTCAAGGTTGTAAAGTAAACCACAGCGGGATCTGGTTGAGGCTCACGGCCTGATGGTTGGAGTGTGGGAGCAGTGAGCTCCAACCGGGGCGCACACGCACGCGCACGTTTCTTGCCACTTGCATCCAGACTCCTTTCCCAAACTGCGGCCCCCGGCCAGTGGTACAGGAAGCACCAATACCAAGCCTTGCCAGCTTCTGGGTCTTGTCACTCTGAAAGCCACAATCTGAACCCACAATCGCGGACCCTGTTTTTCACTCCGTTTCCCCAACAATCACTTGCAGTTCATGTTTCCTTGCACTTCTTCACTAAGGCAAAACTATGAGTCAATGGGTGTGTATTTAGGGGACACGAGGTCCTCTGATTTTGGACTAAAATTGAAAGTTCAGCATGTTCTTTTCCCCAAGTAATTCAGCAAAGCAAATTGTAAACTCGAAATGTTCCATTTGAAGAATGCTCCATGGACATTGGAAGTTCCAAAACGAAGGCCCCAGAAGTCAGACAATTTTGAATTTGACTGAAAATTGGGGGAGAGGGTGAATGACTCTGCATACCTCAGTCAACCAAATAATTTGTGCTGGGAGTTTTATACATTGTCCTGGTGTATTTTATTTATTTATTTATTTAAAAGAATCAAACAAACGTTGAGAGAGTAACAAGTTGTCCTGGTGTATTTTATTTATTTATTTATTTAAAGAATCAAACAAACGTTGAGAGAGTATCAAGAACATTTAAGTTGCATCAAGTCAGCTGATTCACACTCATAATCAGTGCGTAGGGTGTCCCAATACTTTTGAATGTCGTTGTCATTTGGTATCACAGTTAAGATAGAGTGTATGTTTTCCATTTACACGACTAACTTCTTTTTACATTTGTTTGCCAAGTGTAAAAATGGTTAAAAAAAAACTGGAATGGATTAGGTTTGACCTGACATGTTTTTTGTTTTCAATGATTTGAGGTTCTGGTGCTGTTCCATTGCAGCTCCGAGTGCAGCCAGCAAGTCCTTACTGGCATTCAACAGCTCTGCGAAAGC